CTGGCTGGCTGGCGCCGGCAGGCCCCGGCCACCGCGGCGGGGACTGCGGGATGTCGGCCCCGTTTCGTGGCCATCGCTGCCGTCAGGGCACGTGGCTGCACGTGTCGCCTCGTCGCTGGTTTTCCTGTCATCCCGTATCCCCCACCCCCCGGTTGTTTTATACTGGCACCCAGTCCCAGTTTAACACGGCTGCCATTTGCCCCAGGCTCTAAAAGCCTCCCCTGGAAGCTGCTGAAGGCAGTCATAACGGGTGGCTGCACAGAGTCAGGGGGGAGCCTGCAGGCTGGTGACCACTGGTGCTTGTGCCAGGAGGAGGATGAGGTGCTGGGGGTGCTCTGTCCTGCAGCCCTGGACGCTGCCAGCAGCCCCCGTGAGGAGCAACCACTGGAGAGGAAGGTACCAGGGAAAAGCAATACAAACATCTGCTGAGCAGCTATCCTGAGGAAATGCACAAACTTCATCTGCCATGTGACCGTTGCATGCTGTAGAACGGCAGTCCAGGCTCCAGGTGTGATCAAGCTTTTAAATTCACCTGTTCTTGTCTTTGCAGTGTCATCTTATACACCTTGCATGTGTGCACACCCACGCAGCAGGTAAGAAGCCCTCCCCTCCTGGCTGGGTGTTCAGGCCAATGCCCCGTGTCTCTTGAGAGGGCTCAGTTGGGGATTTACACCAAGCAGTGAGTCAGTGTATTGGATGACGCTGTGATAAACACTTGAGAGGAAATTATGTCCGGTTTTGCCCTTACCTCAGCTTCTGAAAAACATCTGACCATCCTGCCCCTTCAAAACGGAAGCTGTGGCTCTTTGCTTTACAAGGAATTGATCTCAAAAGGAGTTATCTCCCTTAAGCAATGAGTTTGTGAAGGCTCAGGCAGTGGAGGGGGTGTTTCTGTGTTTGGCTGAAGCAAGGCATTGCTGGGAAGCATGAGCAGGCCCATACAACAAAGGCTCCACAAGGGCTGTCCTGTCAGTGAGGTGGTTTAACCCCTTCAAGTTGCAAAACTGCTGAAGGTACATCCTGAGTGAGGTTGCCTGTCTATCTAGAACTTTTGCCATGATAAATATAATCTTTCTTTTTGTAATTGGAAAAAGAACAAAAAAAGATTGCCAAGTTGAGTTGAGAGACCTGATCTGAATGTATGTGTGCCTCATTCCTTGGCTGGATCATGATGCAAGCTTTGTACAGCAGTGTGGGGCACTAGGGCCATGTGCTCTATGTTGTGCTAGATTTGGCTGTGGCTGTGTGCTGGATCTGTGCCAGCAGCTGAGGAAAAGCAATAAGCCTGCTTGCAGAGATAGTGCCAGCTCTGCAACACAGATAGGCTTTGGGGGACCTCTGTGTGCTAATCCTTCACCCCCTTTTACTTTTGCAAGGAAAACCCTCTGGGGACCCACTTGGGAATAAAGAGCTTAAACTGGGGTTTGGCTCCTGAAATTACGTCTGCCTTCCTGACTGTGTCCTGTCTTGAACTGGTGGCAGGGGGCCAAAGTCCTACAGGCAGTTGCCTTGTGGGATCTCAGCAGGAGCAGTGTTTGCAGCGCTGTGGCCCAAGTTAGGCGTGACAGGCATCTCATGCAGTGATGATGCTGTAACAGCAGCCTGCCATTTCAGGGATCTCTGTGGTGCTGAGCTTTCTGACACTCATTTGCCAGGGCTTGGCATCTTACTAACAGTTTTAGCCCCATCAGAGGAACCACAGGTGTGTCCCCAAAGCACAGATTGTTTTCTATTGGCAAGTATCTCTCTCTACTGGTGTCCTTGCTCTTCTCTGAGCCATGCTGCTGCATTGCCAGGTGACATGGAGCAGAGAAGCAATGCCTCAGTCTTCCACGTTCTGTATTTTTTCCCATGGTGGAGCACTTCCACAACTGCCTGCACAGTGTGGTTGTTCACCAGCTGGCTGTGGGTAGGCCCCTGTGGCCCCAGTGGGTGGGTATGGGCTTGGTCTGTGACATCAAGGAGTTGTGTAACACACTTGTGGCACTGGATTATCTTGTTCTCTTTTCTGTACCAAGGCTTATAAAATTCAGACATTGCAAGTCACTGGGATTTCAGGCCTCAGAAGTGATACCTGATCTTCATTAAAGTTTTTGGTCTGTTGTGTATTCAGTAAAAACATTTCCAGAGCTTCTCCTAGGGCGGAGACCATGTATGTTCCTGTGTCTATACAGCATCTAGGACGTCTGTGCTAAATGGACTGAAATAAAATGTGCTCCTAAAGCTATGTGGAAACACGGTGCTGTCTCCATGGTGCCTTTTAGTAAACCACAATGTGGTGATAACAGGTTTTTGTTCATATGGGCTCCCGTAGGCTGGGAGATCATCCTTCCTGTACGTGTTTCATTGTATGTTATTGACCAGAAAAGTTCCTTCCCACTCTCCTAGCGATCAGGGGAGGCAAAATTGCAAATCTGTGTCTCTGCAGTCCAAGAGAAAACACAAAAATTTGTGGGCTGGTGAGTTTGCCAGATTAAATGAGTGGAAAGTACTTGAAGAGAGAGGTCCTTAAACATGTTCTCTCAAGGGAATGGAGGCAAAAGCACAGAGCTTTGAGAGTGTTTGTTTAGCTTTGAGTACAGCAGTAGCTTCTTTATGCTTTGTTGGTTTAACTGTATGGTTAATGGCATGTTTGTCCTTTTCTGCAATTTTGGCAGGATAGAGATCCTTGCAGACCCCAAGCCACTATTTTGCCAAGACAGCAGTCCCACGTAAGTAGGTGCTCAAACAGCGCTTGCTCAGGGGCTGGGGACTGATGGGACTCAGCTGGAGCAGACCCTTGGCCATTGTCTTGCTATTCCTTTCCCCTCTATCCCTAGAAAAGCAGACTGAGATGTTCCATACTTGAAGGGAACCCTTCAATTTGCTCTTTCAAGTTCTCAATCAAAAACCTGGGCTTGACTCAAACCTTGCCTTTATTGCCCCATCTGATCTGAGCTGTCCAGCTGAGGTGTTGTGGGGTAGGATGGTGTGTGGTGTGACCGGACCATGGGAGCCAGGCTGCTCTGTCTTGGAGGATACTGCCCAGCTTTAGGAACAGAGTTGCTGTCTGTGTGATGTGATCAAACTATAGCTTGACAAGCCAGGGCAACAGTCTCTTGATAACATCTCTTCTCCATTATCTGTATGGGTCTTGAAAAAGGTTCCATAAACCCATTGCCCTGCTGTTCTCTGTCCCAACTACCCCGGTACCCTCTCTCACCGTGGCCTCTCAGTGAGAGATGAGCAATTCCATATTTGCCCTGGGCACAGGAGAGTAACCACTAACCTGCTGTAAAACCTCACCCACTTTCCATGGCACACCCTGACTGCAAAGTTGTTACTATTTTCACTGTCATACCTGTGGTATAGTTAAGTGGGAATGGTGAGGCAAAAGAAATGCAATGATGAAACTCCTCCAGGGGTTTCAGAGATGTAATTAAATGACCCTCTCTGCACATCTACTGGTAACTAAAACCTATCACTTTAAGAATCGTTTCTTTTTAGTTGACAACAACCAGCAGGAGAGTGTTGGGAAATTCAGACCTACAGAAGGAGAATACTCAGGGGGTGCTAGTGGCATTTTGCAGGTGTGGGGAGCCATAGGACATGTGTGTATGTGTGTGTTCCATCCTAGGCAGGGAAGGATAGCCCCAGCAAACACATTTCACACTTGTGCCTGTTTCTAAAATTTGACAACCTTGCTGTTCATGCTAGGCTTATATGGGGAAACCAAGAGACGATATGGACCCTCTCATCAGGTGCTATGACAGCTCGACCGTCTGCAAGAATACTGCATCTGTGCAAGCCCAAGAAAGATTTTACCATCTATGGGCGCAGGTCAGTCACGTGGTAGCACATCCTGGGGAAGGAGACAGCTCAGAGCATATTCTCTAGTGGGCTATACTGGCTCCCAGGGAAAGGGGAGATGCCATCTCCTCTCCTGAAAAGGCTGCCCTGCAGATAGCTCCATGGCACTGAAACCCATCGGCTGTTTTGTGCTTGGAACAGGGGCTGTCTGAAGCAGGGAAGAAAGTACTATGGGAGTATAGTCACCCTGAGTACTTGACTTCCAAAATGGGGAGGAACTGTGGAGTGCTAAATTTTGGTGACCTTTTATCTCCTCATACCTGCTTCCCAGCTGTGAGAAGGACTTCTGCAACACATAGTTGCAGAAGCCTGATTAGAGCTCTGGATTCCCATCAGCTGCCCTAGGAGCTTGTCTTGATCTCAGTATCCAAGCACAAGAGAGCATGTTCCTGTGCTGTAACAAAAATACCCATCCAACAGCTCTCCTTTGGTTTGAAGTAAACATCATGTGCATGCATGCATTTCTTGATGGAATGTGTGTTGCACCTGTAAGTAGAGAGGAACTATCCTTAGTATGTTCCATGTCCCACTGGGGCTGATGCAGCCCAGCCAGGCACCTGGAAAGTCCTGCATCCTTTTGGAGTGTGACCTAAATCTTTAAGGTAAGATTAGGAATAGAGAAATCTTGCAGTGTTCTGCTGCTGGAAGGAATCCAGCTCTCTTGCCTTGAGTTATACATCTGCTGTCACTGCATGGTGTAAAACCTAGATCATGTTTTGGAATTGGAATGAAAATTGATGTAAAAAGTATAAATGACAGTGGTGCTGCATTACTTGAAGCAAGTAATTTGTAACTCTTTTGAAGGAGATGAAGCTCTTTGGAGCAAAAATGGTGTTTGCTAGTCTGTAATTAGTCCTAGCAATGAGAATGGAGGTGAACCTGTGTTGCACTCTTGGCTTTCCTCTACCTGGAGGAATGTCAAGACGTGCATGTCTGTAGTTTTCTCCCCTCTGCCACTATCACCAGTTATAGGCTCTCATCCTCCTGAGAGCTACTGTCTCTTGCTGAAGGTGTCCATACGACAGCACTTCCTGTCTTTCTGCTTACCTGTGCTTCTTTCTTCCCTGGTGATGACAGGCATATTCCAACAGTTATACTTGTTTTAAAACTGGATGAGCAAGGCTGGATGAACTAGGGGAGACAACAAGATGAAAAAAGCTACAAGGCCACAAAGTGCTATCAAGCCACTGTAACAAAAAGGTCTATAAATTGGCAGAGCTGACCAGAGCTGACCAACATAAATGCTTCCTGATGTTGTGGGGCAGCTTCTTTAAATGGTCCAGGAAAAGCTTAGACTTTGAAAGCAGTGCACTGAGAATGCTTAAAAGGGGACTCTTCAGATGCCAACAGCATTTAAAGTGAGGAAAGCTCAGGTCTAAATGCCTAATTGTTCATAGCTTTTCTATGTGCACCAGTGCCAGATTTTGTATGTGCAGTAGGCATGGCTTTTTAACCCGATTTAGGTTACCATCTGCCAGGATCATGTTCTCTGTCAATTGCCTTTTGCTAGCTCTTCTGTGCTGCTCCTCACAATCCTTCTTTCTGTACAGCTGCAGACCAGTAATCGGTGGGAATCCCCTGCTACCAAAGTTTGGCTACCCTTCTGAACGGCTGCTGAGGTTGTCTGAACCTAAAAAATATCTTCCTGCTTTCCTGGAGCAAAGGTGAGAAAGCCTATAGGGTGCTATAGGTAGAGCCTTGGGTTTTTCAGCATCAGTGGTATGTAATAAATGCAGAACAGAGGATGGGTAAACAAAAGGCAGAATGCAGAGCAGGGTCTCTGCTGGGATTAGAACTTCTAGATTCTCTCATGGGATGAGTTCTACACTGGAAATGGCCACAAGATAAAGCTGCTTTCTACTGCAGCAAATGTGAAGCTTAGACATCCCAGCTGCTGCCAGATTGGAGAACATCTGTGAGTGGCAGTGCCATGACTATTTACTTCCAGATCCCGTGAGTCCCCCGAGTGGCCTGTGTCCCTGGCTGCACTGAACTATAATGCCTCCAAGCGGATACTGCAGCTTGCCCAGCCAAAGGGGGTGCACCCAGACTTTGTGCCACCCAGAGAGGTGAGGAGGAGGTTGAGTGAGATTTGGAGGGTACAGGGATGCAGCAAACTGTCCTGAGTTTTTAGAGCCCATGTCCCACCCCTGGATGTACCCAGTGTGTAGAGGGGAGAAGCTGTCTGGTTCTGCTGTGGTTTATGACACTGGAAGAAGCTGCCTTTTCAGAGAAGAATGTTGTCTTTGCAAATCTCCTGCTGAGAGACAAAGAACAGCCAGGTTGGAGCAGCCTAGTACAGCAAGAGAGCCAAGGGAGGTATCTGGGCTGTGTCCTCTGATAAAGCAGCCTGGGAAAGTGGAGAAACCTGATGGAAATGGCATGTTTAGTTCTTAGGGAGTAGTCAGGTTTGTAGTTGGGCAGCTGTGCTCCTATTTGAGTACAGAGGGGGCATGAGATTGCAAATACTGTATGTATTTTAACTAGAAGCCTAATTTATACTTCTGAGCTTGTTCCTTTTAGGTGGGTGATAGCTTTAGCAGGGGTGAAAGGGTTTGGAGCAATCTCAGATTACACTTATTTCCATGGCAAAGGCTAGGTTTTCTGGATGCAGCCTCTGCGGCTGGGAAATGGGAGGCTGGGCTGGTGCAGGACTGGGGAGCCATAACCCTGTGAAAAATTTTGGAAGAAGTCTCCTGCTGGATAAGTAATCACATTTTCTGTAGGAATGCAGTTAACTGTAGCAGCAAATTTACCCTAAAATCTGAATGTCTCTTCTTAGCAGGAAAGTTACTTGATTCAGCCAGGAAGATTAATATAAAAAACATGGAAGGAATTTCTCTGTAGTTTTACCTGGCTACACAGGCAGTCATTACAGGCACTCCCCTCCTGACTCTGAGTGGGCAACAGCTGGGGAATCCCTATAGCGCCAAAATTACTTAATAGTTCAGGTGAAAGAAAAATAATGGATTCTGGAAAATTAAGAGTGATCATGTCTGCAGAGGAAGGGTGCTGGGATGCTCATCCTTGTGGAGAGGGAGCATATCGCTGTGGGCTGCTGTACAAGCTCTGTGTCTGCACATCCCTTCCCCATTCTGGATCCATGCAGGTGCCAACACAGGTTTCCAGCTTTGCAGTTTCGGCCAAGGCATCAGCGCGAGTCGAGAAACTCGCAGAGCCCTTGATCAGGGAGATGACCTGCTGCTCTAAGCACACCAAACCTGGTGTTGTCATCTCTACGGTAAGGCAGCATCACCCAGGACCCTACATGGATGGGACTTCTGGCAGAGGAGTGGGTACAGGTGCTCAGTCACTTGTGGCTCTCTTCATGTCAGCCCTGGAATGTGCTGCTCTCTATGAGGCTGGTGTAGCTGCTTCCTGAGCTGGAAAGCAGGACTTGTGCTCCATTCAGAGCATGAACTGACTCCGAGCACATATCCCCAGAGAGTGGCAGATCTGTGCCTAACCTGCACTTGTGGGAGCAGGGAGAGGTGGACAAGTGCCTAACTGGGATCTCCAGTGCTGGGGGTGGATTGGACAAAAGGCTGTGAGTAATAGGAGGCTGGAGGGCAGGCTGTGGGACTGGCCAGGCAGTGGTTTCTCCTTCTACAGTTTTCTTGGTGCCAAACAACTGAGGACATGACCCAGTCCCATCTATGTGTGGTCAGTGGCTGTGAACTTGGTAACACTGAATTGGTTGCAGGTTGAGCACCCTTGAATGCCAGGAGCATCTCTAAGGACCTTCCTCCCCATTCTTCCACAGGTTTCCAGGTCATCTCAGAAGGTAGTTGCAAGCCCTCGGACCATTGAACTGTCGAAGCCCAGACAAGTCCACGCTAAGTTCATGCCTGCACGGGATCCTGAGTGGCCTGTGACAGCGGCTGCCAAGCGTGCAATGGCTACAGAAAGGATTGTGGCCCTGGCCCAGCCTACTGCAAGGTAGGTACTGCTTCCCTGTCGTGGGGAAACAATCAGCTGCCGGCCCATTCTGTGTGGCTCATGGCACCTTGTTCATTTGTGTTTGGCCAGAGAGATTAGGCCAAGATTAGGAAGTACTCTTCCACTTCCAAAATACATGGGTTTTATATGTTTGGATGTGTTAATGCTACATGGATTGCGGTTTAAAAAGCCCTTTTGTGGTAGAAGGGGACTCAAGAGAGAAGGAACAGGAACTCTTTTATTCCAGCAGAATTACTGGCTGGGACTTGTTATTAATTCCAACTATAAAAAGCAACCAACTGGCAAAAGGCAGAGTGTGATACACTCATGTTGCCCAGCATGTTGCAGCTGACCTCAGCCCAGTCTACAGGAAGTGCTGGGGAGGATGTTTCACAGAGGGTGAGGGAATGCCTTGCCATAGTGGCTGTGAGAGATACTCCTCTCCTGACAACAGCAGTGGAGGTGTGATGCCTTTTGTCCACCCTTGACAGTGAAGGGCAGGCTTAGGTGGACGTGTGGGAGCTTGCAGGCAGCTGACAGCTGGCCTTGCTCCAGCCAGGATTGACCATGCCTACCTTCTCTCCTCCAGACCTCGAATGGGCTTGACTGCACTCAACCCAGATGCATTCAAAGTGAAGGAGGCTGCTCTGAAGGCAGTTTGTTCTCCACGGCTCGAACAACTAGCTCGGCCAATTCAGCGCTAAGCTCTGTCAGAAATGCTCCTGCCATCTGCCCACATCACCCCTTGGAACATCCCTCTCTCTGGGCTCTGCTGTGGCTGGAAGATCTCTTTGAACACAGCACAGAGGCAGCACTCAGCAGGAACGCTTTCTGGGAGTTAAAATAAAATCATTCCTTTAGAAAGTCATCAGGGAAAATTACGGAATTCAACTTAATGTGGGAAGACTCTCTTCCTAGGATGGGTTATGTCTAGAGTTTCTCTCTTGATTGTTTTGTTGTAATAGTTTAAGAAGTAATGAAACAACTGCTGGGGGAAGGCAGCACAGGAACTGTCCTTTCATGCAGGGAAGTGTGGCAAACCAAACCCAAGAGCATGCAGTAAGTTGATGCAACATAACTCCTGAATTTGGGTTTAAATTTTTTTGCTAAAATTTGAATGTCTTCTTACTGATACTCAAAAGTTTTGTGCTTGTGACAGAAGTAGAAAGACAAAAGGCTACAATGTATGTTGAGTTGGCTTGGATTTGGGACCTGTTTTCTCAAATGCCTGGAGAACAGGCAGATCCACTTACATAGGTGGGTTAAAGCTGTGTGGTTCAGATACTCAGTTGTGTGACCTTGGGCAAAATAAGAGAGTTCTGTGCTGGGATTTTTGGAGCCTAACTCAAAAAAGCAAAGTTCCCCTCAGTGTAAAAGAGAGGGCAAGTTGCAAAGGCTAAGCAGAAAGCAAGTATTGGTGCCAGAGTCTGCAGACCAAATTGTGAGCTCCAGTCAGGTCTGTGGGTCAGTCAGTTTGGCAGCTGGGTTGCAGGGGAGCAACACAGTCTGTGCAGGGCATGACATAAAGGGAGAATGCTTTTATCTGCTTCCTACAAGGTCAATGTGTTTGCACTGGCTGCCCAACCACTGGTGACAGGCTGGAGATACTGAGGCAAGAGAGATGCTCAGTGTTAAGGGACAAAAGCCACAAATGAAAGCATATGGCAGTTTCAGAGCCAATGTATTTTAATCTTGTCCTTGTTAAGCTGATTTTCCTTCCAAAGGAGTAGAGGCAGGTGACCACAAACCAGAAGGGGATTAATGAGATGATCCATTAATTGATTCAGTAATCCACTAAGAAGAGGAGTTTCGAAGCCTTTTGAACAAGGTAAGGTCATTGTGAAATGGTGCTAGTTATTTTTAGACCAGGCATTATCCTGTGCCAGGATGGATGAGAGTTTGGACTTCGTGCAAGAGCCCCAATGCAACTGCATTCCTCAGGCTTGAGAATGACCAGGAGGAGACTGGGGTCTCTCCCTAAAACCCCCATGCTGTGGGGGAACCCCAGCACCACCAGCATCTGCCACCCTGGGGATTAAGGGGTGTGGGGTTGTGTGGGCTGCCATGCATGGACCCACAGGTGCCCTAGGAGCCAAGGCTTCCCATGACTGTCCCTGTGGCAAAGGGAAAACCCATTGTGCCCACTGAGGCTGCCTGGGAGAAATATTGCCCATCCAGAGGAAGGAGTCTGCCTCCTATCCTGCACAAGCAGAGACATAACACAGCTTCTCTCATCAAAAAATGTTGCAATTTATTACTGCACTGGGAAAAAACCCATGAGTTCTTTCTCTTTGGTGACCTTTAACCAAAAGGTTAAAAAGGCATTCAGGGGTGCTTGGCTTGGTCTGATTATGGTGTAGGCACTTGGTTTGCCAGTATTCAGAGCTGATTCAGGCATGTCAAGCCAAACCAGGTCACCTGAACAACGCACCTAGTTTTCCAGATGCCCTACTCTCCGCACCTTAAAGCTAGTACACATATTTTGCCTCTGGGGATTTTAAGGAAAAGGAATCTTTATTTCTTCCTTCTATATTTGAACATATATCATGGCAAAATTTCTGCAAGCCTGAGACAAGGGCATGAAATTGCCTTTTCTTGTGCAGCTGCTGTTAATGGGTTGGAATCACTGGATAGGTTATCAGCCATCAAAAGTTGTATACACACATGTGTATATATATATATATATATATATAATGGGTTTTTTTCTGGTTATGTACATATTAAATAATATTTCTGTTAAATAGCAGAGTATTACTTAGTATTGCAAAACCTATTGCAGCAGAAGAACCCCAAGGAAACCCACTCTGAAGAGCTTCACCATCCTTTATAAGAGGCAAGGGGATTGGAGCAGCATCCTCTAGTCCCTTACAGACCCGCTTTCTGAGGGCAGCCCTTCAGACTTCCTCCACTCCGCCAGGCGCTGCTTGAACCATTTCTGGAGAGAAAGAACAAAGCAGAGACTGAGTGCACTGAGCTGAGTGAAGCCTCCAAATAACTTTGCTAAAAGGGCAGATGTCAGCACGTGGGAAGAGGTGAGGGGAACTCATGGTGCTGCTGTGTTGTAGCAAGGTGCTGTTCCCAGGCAGTACAGGCAGCCAGGATGGTGGCTCCTGACCAAACAGTCTTGTAACCTACACGTGCACCTCTTTCAAACTAATTTCTCTAGCTCACTTCAGACCTTGACAGTATGAGTGAGTCCTTTTTTTATTGCTGTGAGCCCAGGTTTTTCTTCAGACCTTGACAATATGAGTGAGTCCTTTTTTTATTGCTGTGAGCCCAGGTTTTTCTTTGAGCAGAGTAAGAGACTGGCTAAGGAGCTGAATGGTGTCTGTTTAAATGACTGGAGAAGTCAAACAATCATTTGCATGTCCAAAACTGACAGGAATCGAAAGCTCACCTGTTTCAGAAGGCATGAGAGGTACATTGCACATTGGGTCTCAACAAATGTAAGAACAAATCTGTTTTTTAAATTGTTTAAAAACTGTCTTACTGTTAAGGCAATATGCACATGTTAGCAGTAACTTATCACTATGTCTGTTGTAACTTAGCATCTGGAAGCCTATTCCAAGAGCTGCTGATGCCACTTCAAGGCAGCCACAATTTAAAATATTAGATAAAATGTATCTGGTTAAAGTTACACTACCTAAGAAGAAAAGAAAGAAAAGAAATATTACTCCTGTGGCGGAAGCACAGCTCAGCCTTTTGTTTGGCAATGTGCCTGTGATTCCTTTTGTTGCAGTTCATTTTGTTGCTATATTTGTTCATGGTTATTTTTGAAGCTGTTATGGTCCATAATGATACAACCACAGTGCTCTCTGGAAGTGCCTCTCAGTCTCACACTGCCTTTGACCACATCCAGTCATATGATTGACAGCCTAGCCTCGTCTCAAAAGTTTCACTTTCTGTCCTAAACCAACATCTCCTCTTTGCATCTCATTGTTACTGAATTTTTAATTAAAATGGCTGTTATTTATAGATGATAAAACACTCCAGATGTCAGGGGCAATGATTCCCTGTGTTCTACGCAATGCAGGCACTTTGCAGTTCACCCCAGTGTTGATCCTGTCCCTAATATGACCTCCATCTCCAAATCTCTCAGAGCACACTAGATCAGTGGAAAAAGGGAAGATTTTAAGACATCTACAGAGATGCCTTTGGGTATATATACCCTGTGTTTGCAAGTTGCTTAGGAAAAAAGAAAAAGGAACAGTGCCATTGCTATGGAGAAAAAGGTATTTTATGGGTACTGCCTCGTCGCTGCCTCAAACAAGCAGTGATTGATGCCTGCCTGTCACCAAAGCACAGTCCACTCCAGCTGAGGACTATTGTGCAATGGATGCTGCTCCTGCATCTTTCCCTGGGACAGCTAAATGCTGACACTGCCAGCTTGGCTTTTATACCCCTTTGGCTTTGCTGAGGGAGAGCTTGGCAGCTCTCTGTAAACTGCTGCTAACTTTCCGATGAGTTGGATTTCTTTTCTGTACCCCTAAATGCTGCTATGGGTCTAGTAATCACCTGCATCACAATGAGCTGCACTGCCACCTGAAGGAGCTGGGAAGAAGCCTTTTGCTTCTGAAGCCTACGGTAGCCTGCAGCTAGCCAGTTGGAGCCCAGGGCATGGTGGAATTCCCAGACAGCGGCAGCTTGTCCCTGTGGAGGGGTATTTGGGAGCCTCTATGTCTCCTGGAGAGGCTGACAGACTTGCCTGACATCGGGGCTTAGCGACGCTGAGGGGGAGGGTGCACAGCCTGAGCATGTCCCACAGCACATCCTGCAGGAATTGCATCTATCCTCTACAGATTTTAAAATTACAGTGGTTTCTTCAGACCTTAAAACCAGCAGTAGTTTGTGCATCCAAGACTATCAGAAAGGGTTTGGAAGAACAGCATGCACGGGTTGTACATTCAGGAGCAGAAACACGTGGAGCGCAGGAAGGATGTGGGGTACAAGGAGGTGCTGTGTTGAATTAAAGCTCTGTGGGTGCAGTTAGGGGTGTTCTGGGGGTTGCAGAGGTGCACAGGAGATTTGTGGGTGTAGTGAGGAGAGTGCAGGGGGCACAGTGGGGCAGGGAGTGCAAGGAGGGAGCACATGGGGCACAGAGGAGTGCAGGTGGTGTGTGGGAAGATGAGAAGGGCAGGGGCTGCTGTAGGAAGCCTGTGGGGGGACAGACGGGTGCAGGTAGACCAGGACAGGCAGGAGACGGGCACAGAGGCATGCAGGGGGAGTGGGGCTGGTGCCGGGGGCAGGATGAGAGGCATGCACTCACCAGAGTCTGCTCCTCGGAGAGCCCAGTCTCAGCAGCGATGAGGCACAGTGTGGTGGGGTCAGGATGCTTATTCACCTTGCAGAAGTGGTATTCCAGGATCTCCAGCTGCTCCTCAGTGGGAATCACTGGCTTTTCCATGGCTATCTCCTCCTGGGACAGGGCTATGGGGCCTGGCACTGCCGAGAGGGACTGGTGTCATTGCTCAAGCTGGGAGTGGCCAGCGGGGCCACACTTGCTGAGCCCCAGATTTGCCATCCGTGTCCCCACCAACCTCCCCCCCTCCCTGCTCTGGCTGTGGGCTCTGGCTGCAGCAGGGCTCTACTCCCCAAAGGCATGCCAGGGAGCTCAGCTGGGAGCACCAGCCTCCCAGCAACTCCTGTCTCAGTTTTCTGCAGCGACCACATGCCAGCAATGCCCAGCACTGAGCTGTCTCACCATCCTCAGCTGGCAGGAAGCTGCAGGCTGCTCAGCACTCCCCTGGTGCTGTATTTATAGCCAGCGTGACTCCCATGGGAACGATTCCTGTTTACAGCCGTATTTAGGCCTGGGCGTCACTTAGTAGTGATGTCACAGCAATGGCTATGTTCAGGGGGTTAATTTAAAGACAGTAGTTGAAAAACATTATTTATCCTCTGGGTGAAGGGACAATATCTGACATCTAACCTAGTGGGTTGTTATATATTTTTTTTTCCCTACTTCCCAGTGATCAGGCAAGTCTGTGCAAAGGAATGGTAAAAGAGAGTATACATGATCTTCTGGGAGCATGGTCTATGACCCAGGTACCACGCTATTTCCCCTCCTCAGGATTAGTGTCCTGGTCCTTCTCTTAGCAGTATGGAAAGACATCACACAATGGTTGCCATGAGAAGGTGAGCTGCATTGTTTTAAGTAATATTTAATGTTACCACATGTGGGCATTAGCAGTTAGTCCTATTGTTCCTGAGCATCACTGAACTGGTTAGTTGATTGGTTGGATTTTGCTGTATAAGTGTTCAAATCCCTATGGCCTGTACCCTGTGTATGTTTGTTGCTCAAGCACTTGCTGCTTCTAACTGTGGTCAGTCCTAGGTGCTCCCAGCAGAGGCAACACCAAGAAGCCCATGTTTTCCTCCAGAGTAAGACTTGTCCCACTTGTGCTTTGCATAATCTCTGGAAGATTTGGCCCAAAAGAACAATCAAAATAAGTGCCTCTTTGATAAATCCCACACCTCTCTTCTGCTGGGCTCCAGGTTTGCTTTCACATGGTAGGGGGTCGAACTTGCTAATTCAGTCAACTAAAACACAAGGCACTGCCCCCACACAGCATGCACAAGTCCCTTGATGCTGAATCACTGTGGTGTTTCTGAAACTAGGCTGTGGGGTATTGGCAGGGGAGGAGCTGGTTGCAAAATGTGGCGTTTCTTGATCTGCTCTCCTGCTGTCCCAGTTGCTTGGCCCATCTCTGTTGGCTGGTTGGTTTTGCTGGCTCTCCAGTGCTGCCAGGAGCCCTTGGCCCTTCTTGTGACTCCTGTGGGCCATCTGCTGCAGACCTGCCCTGCCTCCACACTGCAGTCCAGCTTTTCCTTCCCTTTGGCTCCTGCAACATCCATCATGCTGCACTCCTACTGCATAGGTTTAAACCCAACTGCTTTCTTGGTTGACTGGTAACTCACCTTTAGGTACCCTGGGGTATTGAATGCTCCATGGCTTTCACTTGCTGACAGAACTGCTAGGATAGAGCTCAGCTTCAAAACTGTCTTGCAGCTTGTGAAGAGCCAGGCACAGTGAGAGGCTGGAGAGATCCTCTTCTTTGAACTTGATCTCATAAAACAAAGATCCCCCCTGAGCTGCTCTGCAGAAAGTGCTTTGACTAATAAAAGAATCCTTTGGCATTTGAGTAGGGGCTTATAAATAGACCAGGGCTGGTTGTGAAACAGCCCACTGTGCTTGAGTCACTTGGTAAATAATGATTGTAACACAGTGGTTGTGTAACATTGGAGCACCTCTGAGCTCGATGGAGTGCTGGTAGACAGTATAGACAGTATCACCCACCAGCCCTGGGTGGACTGAGGAAAAACCATCTTTAACCCCAGGTACTGCAAGCCAAGCTGGCCTTGTCTGTATTACATTGCAGCTGCCTGGGTTTCCTAGGGTTGGCTCAGTTCAGAAGCATCCATATAGGAAGCGGGCATCATCATTCAGTTCCTCATTCATGTGAGGTAGTAGGAGTCTGCTGAATGCTGCTCACCTACCTTAGATGTTTGTAGACCTCTGGAAAAGATGCAGGGGTAGAAGGAGGTCCCCTGGATTTGAGGTGCTACTTTCCAGCATTGTGGCTGCCAGACTCTCCATGAGGTCAAAATGCAGATGAGGCCAAGCTCAGGCCACAAGTCCTGCCTCTCTTTTTTTTAGCACACCACTGAGCCACCTGCCCTTCCCATAGAAAGCCCAGCCACAAAGGGATCCTCATCACCTCCAGATCATGCATCTAGCCCAGGCCACCAGCAGCAACAGGCCTTGGCAGCTCGTAAATCATTTTTTGCAGGCTGCCACATTAATGTGCATTGATGTGTGTGCATGGATTTGCATAGGGAACACATGCTTCACCTTTCATGTTTCACCTGCACAGCTATTTCTGCTTCTGATTATCTCCAGGTTCCTGAGGCATTTCCCCATAGGACACAGTATCTTCTACCTGCTGGCAGCTCAGGGTGCCCCAGCATGTGGGATGTGATGCTTGATGGTTTTTCTTTGTGTCCCCTTTACTCCTGCTCTGGAAGGAGTAGTTTTTTACCTCTCAAGGTTGTGAGATGGGTTTCAGGAAAAGGCAAAAACTCTGGGGCTCCTGGAGGGTTTTGCAGGTCTCCCCACATCGCTCCACTATGTCCTAGAGGCTTTCAGGAGCCATGTGACCCCTGTGCAGCACATGGCCTCTAGCACTTGGCATGTTCAGGTTGCTAAATTTGGGGGTATATGACATGACTTGAGGGCACTAGGAGTGCCTAAATGGACTGGCCCTATCGAGACCACTAATCACCTGCCCACTAAATGGAGCCTTGTTTAAGCCCAGGCATGCAGCTGGGCTTCAGGCTGTCCATCCAACATCTCTCCCTTTACAGGAAAGGTGATTGTCTCACATTTCTTTAAGCCTGGCAGAAATATGGAGACTCACAGCTGTTTGTCTTAGCTGCTGAAAAGCACCACTTCTCATTGCTTTTTTCCTCTTAAATTTTTAACAACATTGAAAAAAAAAAAAAAAAAAAA